ACCCGTAGTACCGTACTGTACCAAGGAAACAACAAGAGTTCGTCTGGATTTATGTCGACGTCCACAAATATACACGCGGGAATTCCAATGACTCAACGCCTCCTTGACTTCGAATTCCGTCCATTTCTTCAAACTAGCTCGTCGCTTTTACTAGAAGAAATCACATTTGCAGAATTTACCTGCACTACGCCCCTGCTTTCCCATACTTTGGAATTAGAGAAAAAAGAGAGATACGCTAGAATGCGCTTCTGGGGAATTTCGCAGTGAAGCCGAGTCTACTCACAGTCCACCTGCAGTGAATCTGGTCGTCTCTTTGCGGCTAAAATGGACTTATGATTCCCTCAGGACGACATGGACCCCCCGAAGGGCGGGCTGTCGCTCAGTCTAACTTCAAACTGTGCGAGGCATCCACGAGTGGCGGACTGCGGAACGGTCTTTGACGAAAGCCAGCTGCGAAACAGGCCAGCACTCGTGTCCGATGAATAATCAGCCACGGACTACGTGGTGTTAATACTTTCGAATTGGGCTGGACAGCAATCTGACAAAGGATTACCTGAAAGTGGCCGCCATTCAATAAGATTTTACCTCCCGACTGGCCCAATCGTGAAATCTTAAGCCGACGTGCCAAAGCGGTGGATGGGGGTCTCGAAGGCCGAATCGATTAAGCAAACGGAATCGCCCCTCTGAAAGGTCCAAATACGCAGCCGACGTCCGGTGGGCCATGGCTTAACCCACGTTTATGGACCAGCGGAGAGCCAGAGCGTGCGTGCGCGCTCCAGTTGGACATGTCAAGGACGAATGGGGGTGTTTCCCTACCCAAGGACAGCAGTAAATCCCCTTGGTGATAAATGAAAAGTAACGATGCACTTTGAGCATAAAAAACCCCTGAAACTCGGAAGTTGAAAGAGGAAAGCACCAAATGGCGCGGTAGATTATAAGCGAGCTTTCAGAATTCGATCGGTTTTTTGTGAAAGTGGAAGAAACACGGCGGAAAATAGTCAGTACGCAGGACCTCTGAAGGAGTACTTGATGCTTCGGGATCTCATGGCGGTCGACGTTGTGATGATGGTGACTACGTGCCACTTGGCTGTTTACTTATCCTAAAAGTGGTGGGAAAATTATTTTAAAAAATATGAACATTCATTCTAGTTTTTTTCGGATCATTTTGGAAATGATAATAGACAGCGCCTTTGAAAGCCCTGTTGTTTGCATGGCAGTTCGGTAGACACAACAGCATACACAAAATGTTGTCATTAATAAAATGCTACTGGCGTAATTTAAGTAGCGCTGTTTTATTACTAACTTCTGAGGGGGGTCGCGGAGCCTTTAGTTCAGGCTCAGACCATTTCATTACATGTTTAAATGAAGAGGCCAAATGGCTAACATGAGGAGCATCGATACAGCGATGGGTTCTGCAGTCAGGCACCCTTGGTGTAAGCCCTCATGAAAACAAAACTCATTTACTGATATACTGCATCACTGTATTGCCTAGGCAGATGCCTTGTTGCACAAGGCTCAGTTGGGAAGATCGCACCGCAGTTAGGCAGTATTAAACACTGACAAACTAATTCGAAGGTGCGTCACCTAAAGACTTTGCCAAAGATCGACAAACATAGAATCGTGCTCGAGTTGACTTGACTAAGAGGAAACCGTTAGCAAAACTATGACCAAAGCTCGACAAGTAATATACTTTGTCGGCGGCCTAGGCTATCAACAAGATCTAAAGGTATGCAGTAGCTGTGACATCCCTGATGCCAATTTCTATTTATGCCTCTTTTTGTTACTAACTGTTTGTTAGTAACTGTTTGTTACGCACACGACCCTGTCTTTGTCTCTGTAACCCTATTCGTCGGTTCTCGTCATTCTTTTTTCTCTGTCCACTGTCAATTGCTCTTTGTCGCTCTTTGGCTCATTCGCTGACTGCTCGTCTAATCACCTCGAATGTACGTCCACTTTTAAATTTATTCCTCGCCTTATTAACTCTATCGTGCTCCGCTAATCTTACTGTTTATTCATATAGAACCACGAATAATAATCGAGTTATCCCGACTGTTTTTTGACATAGCTTTGACCACGGGTGCGTCTATTCCGGTAAATAAACCAGCACTGAATCGAGAAAATCCAAAGAATACTAACAGTAGCCCTAAACAGCTGGTCAGTAAAGTTGCATGTGCGTAAATGCATAATTAGGCTTTGGTCGAACAAGGGCGATGGGCGCCCCTTGAATTAGATAAAAGATACAACGAAGGGCAATTCGCCAAGTGTTCGGACGTCAAAGGGGAATCTTCGATAAGACAGAATGGTAAACCTGGGACGGTGTGTCGGCTGCCTTTTGAACATGTTCACGTATCCTTTGTGAATGGCTACATGTACTCCATCGATTGTTTTTCTTTACAGACCTCCCGCGATTGGTTGCCAATATCCCGAGTCGACTCCGAGGCAAAAGACTGAAGTCTATCGTGACTACTTGTCCTACTGCTCTTGATTACGACATTGTACAGGAATAGAGCCGTCGAAGGCCCATTCCCGTTCACTTTTCGTCCCAATCCAAACATTTGCGGTAGCTTATTGCCACAAAACTCTGAATCGCCATTGCAATGCCGCATCGACCCCGTCCATCGGCAGCTGCATCGGTCGGCTATCTTGATGATCACCCTCACTGGCGAGCTAGCTTGCACAAACTCGAGGAGTCGATCGATCTGACAGACTGGCCGTTGGGCTTCCATGATTCAGGTTTGTCACCTACTCCTGCAAGAGCCTGCCGCAATCTGCCTGTGAACCACCAGTCAATAGAACTTGTCCAGCCAACTTTAACGCCTGGAGTCCCGATTTGGGAGCACACTACTGTAATGGGTGACAAGCGACGTCCCACCCCTACCCATACTACCTCCCAAAGCTGAAGCCACATTCGTGAAACCTGTCCCCTTGCGATCACAACAGCCGGACGGGGTTAATGAGTGGAGCCTCTGGAGGTCATAAAAACGGGGAATGTGGAAATTACCATTTGATGGCGATCTCGTCAGCTGCGGAGGATTCGGTCGTTAATGAGGCCATGTACTCGGGTCGTAAAACTAAAAACGGAAAAATGCATAAGCCGATGGAAATTCAGATACCGACTTTCTTAACCTGACTATGGGGCGGAAGGCATTACTTAAAAACTGTCGGTCACCTCTGTTGTCAAAATTTTGAAAGAGTGCGAATAGACGTCAAGAACTGTAGACGGCCATTCCACCACCCTCCCTAATCACATATAACAATTCTGTGTAGGAAATTTACTAATTTACCAACAAAGGACGAGTGTTCTTGTTTACTTATTCATACATGTGCATGACGTCTGCATTGAGTACAGTCGTGCAATTTCATAAGAAAATGAAGACTGGTGTGAAATGTTTAACTCAATTGTTGAAAGGAATGGAATTTTTGCTGAAATTGTAAGCTCACCGTCTGCTGCCTTTGGCGGACCTGATGGTAAGGTGAGATGAACTTTAGTCATCGGGACTAGGTTGGCCTACAGTTGGAGAAATATGGAAATCATGGCTGATCAAACGGACATCAGTCACATGGTGTCGGGATGGCACCCGTCAAGCAAGGAAACAAGATACTTAATTACGGACATGAATACTACTTAAGAGGACTTGAGTAAGCATTATTTCAAAGTCCCCAGTGATCGGGCTAGGATGCACGGAAAACGTAATCCAGCTTCTGGGCCACCGCGAAAAGAGATCCGCCGATAATACTAATAACCTACCCAAAAACTTTTGACGGTAAAGTTCACTGTAATCAGAGCAAACCAAAAATGCACCCACACAGTTTCTTATTCGGTTGGCTGGCACGCAGAACGACTAACGCTTGACTAATGACTACCGCGTACGGCACACGTGTTTGGCGGTGGTCAGTAACTACTACTTCAACAACAACAACAAAAACAAAAACGGGAGGTGTCAAATGTGCTTGCGCGAACTAGAGGAGGGGGTAATTAACTGGGGGGAGGGGGCTGGCTAAGGACTACCAGAACCAGTTGTTTTCACACCGAAAAGACCAAACCTCAGTACGAAAGGGGAACAACTA